TAGATGTACTTTTCCTGAAGATAAGATCCATAGTTCTTAATGAAAGCAAGTCTACATAGAAAAGACCCATAGTTCTTAATGGAAGCTAGTTTACATAGGAAGCATTTTAGAATGTGGTGCGGACTTAGGGTTGTCACAATGATTGTGGGGTGCTACTGGCATATTGTTGGCAGGGCAGGGACATCAAGAAAGGCTTGGATCTCAGTGAAAAAAAAAGACTGGGGAGAGGCTGTAGCAAGGGCAGATGGGCATGAAATTTTTACATAGGATTTGTGTTGATATGCAGTGTAGTACAGCTCACTTCCCCCTTCACCGCCACCAGCCTGGGAACTAACCCTAACATCTCCTGTCTCACTGATCCTGGCCAGAGGTGCTAGATGCCCTGGGAAACAAGGGGCGGCCTTATTTGATTCAGTGAAGAATCTCTGCCCATTCTGCACAACCTCAAATACCCAAACATGCATTTCAGGTAGGCAAAACCTGGTTTATAATTATCTGAGTCTAGAACTCTGTTTTGTATGTAATCATAGAGTAGTTTTTATAAAGTTTTAATATACACTGAATTTTCCAAGAATGCAATTTCTTGTTAACCAAAGGAAGATGATACTTTCTTTTGTTCAGAACTCCACAAAGAGTCATTCACCATTTCAGAAAATCATGGTTGTAGACAATAATGCCCCAAATGGTATTTGTGTCTCCAAAATCAATCTTCATTTTTAGCTCTCACTATCATAGTGATTCAACTTAGAGGTGCAAACATCTAACGATTTTATCATGTCTTCTAGTATAGTTGTACCCAATCATATGTATAATGAGCACATTTACCTATTTAATTTACAATTAATATATATTAATGTAATACAAATTAACTTTCATTTTCTTTCTCCCTTATTAAGTTAGACTAGTGATTTATGTTTTTTAGGTGTAAGAGCTAGTATATGATCTTATGTATGAATTTCAGAGTTGCAAAAAAAGATGTTATATATTTATTATAATGAGAGACTGTAATGAGAAAGTATAATACTTTATGTGTTAGTTTCTTATTGCTGCTGTAACAAATTATGGCAAATGTTGTGGCTTAAAACAACATACATTTATTATCTTAGAGTTCTGGAAGTCAGAAGCCAGAAATGGGGTTCACCTAGCTAAAACTGAGGAGGCAGGGCTGCGCTCCATCTGGAGGTCCCTAGAGTAAGAATCTATTCCCTTGCCTTTTCCCATTTCTTGGTTCATGACCCCTTCTTTCTCCATCTTTAAAGTCAGCAGCTTAGCACCTTCAAATATATCTCTGACCCTGAGCCTCTTGCTTGCATTGTTTCATCGCCTTCTCTTCTAACCTTTACCCTCCTGCCCTCCTCTCATAAGGATCCTTGTAATTATACTGGTCCTACCCAATAATCCAGGATAACTTTTCCATCTCAAAATCCTTAATCACATTTGCTAAGTCCCTTTGCCATGTAAGGTAACATGGACAGTAGGACCTGGACGTCTTTGGGGGGCCATTATTCTGTCTACCATACTTTAATAATATAATAATGGTTGTTCTGATAAGGTTGTGACCCATAGGTATAATTAAAGCCTAAGGGTTGGTGCTTCCTCTCTCTTTCTGGTCTCGGGGTAGGTAGATTTCTTTTTTGACTATGGGTTGGGTTGAACCTGCTCCAAGAGTACAGTGTCTATAGATGAACAACCTCATTCCTGCCAGACTGAACCCCTGGTCCTTGAGGGAAGATTAGTTGTTATAAGGCACTGAGTTGCCTGTAAATGTGGATATCAGCATTCATTGGAAGCTAACCTGGATTGAAAAACTCCTTTTTATTTTTTCCTAACCACTAGATAACCAGGGAGAAAAACTTAATATATTTTTTCTTGGGAATAGGCGATGTTTACTTTTTGAGGCACCTAACTTGATAAATGTCTTAAGGTGTTTTGCTCTCTGGGATATATCTGAAGTCAGTGAGATATTCTCTCAGCTGTGTGTCCTGACCTAAAAATTGGGATATGTGGTCTGACAACAGATTTTTGATGTCATTTTCAGAGTCAAAGTATTTGGGAGATGCAATTTGGTTGAAGATACATTATAATTTTTGGTACATCTTGATAGTTAAGAGAGGATAATGTGGTAGAATGAATCAAATGAAAGAGCTATCATTTACTGAGTACTTTATGAAGTGCCAAGTGCTATGTTATGTTCTTTATACATATTATCTCATTTAACCTTCACAAAAACCCAGTTAGGTGGAAATTATTACCCTTGAGGTTCCATCTCAAGGTGGTAGTGGCAGGCTCAGAATTTGAACCCACAACAACAAACAGAAAAAGAAAACTACAGACCAATATCTCTTATGAACATAGATGCAAAAATCATCAACAAAATACTAGCAAAACAAATTCAACAACACATCAAAAAGATAATTCAACATGATCAAGTGAGTTTCATCCCAGGGATGCAAGGATGATTTGATATATACAAATCAATAAATGCGATTAACCACATAAGCAGAAGTACCCCCCCTCCCCAAAAAAAGATATTGAGGCATGAGGAATATAGTTAACTAAAGAGGTAAAGATCTCTATAAGGGGAACTACAAAACACTGATGAAAGAAATAACAAATGGAAAAACATCCCATGCTCATGGATTGGAAGAATCAATATTGTTAAGAAGTTGATTCACACTTGCAAACCAACCTAAGTGCCCATCAACTGATGAATGGATAATGAAAATGTATGTGTGTGTGTGTATAAACACACATAGACACAGACACACACACACAAACACACATACACACATCATAAGTACTACTCAAGCATAAAAGGAATGAAATAATGTCTTTTGCAGAAATTTGGATAGAACTGAAGACCATTATCCTAAGTGAAATATCTCAGGAATGGAAAAACAGGTACCATGTGTTCTCACTTATAAGTGGGAGCTAAATGAAGGTTATATATATAGTCATAAAGAAGTGTGATAGACATTGGAAACCAAGAAGGAGGGAGGTTAAGAGGGGAGTGGGGGATAAAAATCTACCTATTGGGTACAATGTACACTAGCCGTCTGACAGGTACATTGAAAGGCCTGACTTCAGCATCATACAATTCATCTGTGAAACAAACAAAAAAATCACTTGTACCCCCTAAATTTTGGGGCAAAAAGTATTCAAACCCAGATCCATCCTACTTAGAAATCAGTGCTTGTGAACTACTACACTTACAAAGATCTAGGATATGGGGTCCTCCATAATTAGATGCATCCCAACTAAAAAAAATATTACTTGGAAGATAAGCCAGAGCTCTAGATCTGCAGGTGTCTTTCTTTTCATCCTCAGCGAGAGCTGTCTGGTAGCCAAGAAGAGTTGCATTTAGATTTTAGAATTGTCCTTTCAATGTTCTTATTCCTGGGTAAGAAGAAGGACAGAGCACATTGGTATTTTCCTGGCAGCAGACACAAGTCTAAAGGAAATTTGATAGGAAGATAGAGACAGGCGGGGAGGGGGTTATTTTTAAAGCCTGCCTTCTTTGTATCCAGCCTGCATCCGCCAGCATCATCAGTGATTCTGAGAACAGGGAACTCCATGCATTGGAGTAGGGGTGCTGTGAGAGCCCCAGGTGATATTGGAGAGGAAGGATGCCCCTTGGAGACTAAATAGTGCTGTTACGTGTACGCCAAAGGTCAGTTTAGCTTCTGCAGCCTCCTGCAAACAGTCCACCTCGGCAGAGACTGAGAAGGGTGGGGCAAGGGGCCCATCTCACTTGAGAAAGTGCAAGCTGACAGCTGAAGGGCCCCAGAGCAGCAAATTTCACCTTGTCTCTTCTCTTGGACCATTCCAGCTGTCTGTTTTTGATTGACAGAGGCATCTGGCTGCTAAAAATACCCTACTGACCAAGTGCTCCCTATTCCAATTAAAACTGAACATGACTGCAGCCAGAACTTAGCATATACAGATAGTTTCTTCCTACAAAGGAACTTTTCAAAACTTTTCAGGCCCAAGCCCAGAACCACACTAGCCCAGAAAATGGTCATTTTCTGCTCAGTGGGCTTTGCTGGGTGATGAGTGAGACCTTCCCTTCCCAGATCATCGTCCTCTTTTTTGTCCCATCCCCACCTCCAGGAAAAGTAGTAGAGGGGGAGGTGAGGGCCCCGTGGCTGAGAGGGGGTGGAGAAGGGGAGGTGGCTTGTCCATTTATAGTCTTGCTCTTTGGGATGCTGAAGGTGCTGAAATAGCAGCAGTGACAAGAGACTCGGCTCAGTGTTAAATATCCACCGTGCTGGCCTGACAGACTCTGAGATGACAATAGGGAGAATGGAGAACGTGGAGGTCTTCACTTCTGAGGGCAAAGGCCGGGGTCTGAAGGCCACCAAAGAGTTCTGGGCTGCGGATGTCATCTTTGCCGAGCGGGCTTATTCTGCAGTAGTTTTTGACAGGTATGAAATGTGGGGAGTTGCCTTTTCTTAGAGTTGCCTTCTTCTCTCCCGTTGGTTTGGTTGGTGCCAAACTCTAACATGCTTTGCTTTCAGAATCATCAGGGGAAGGGATAAAATTCATGTGATCTTTTTTAACAAGATGGCACCTCTGACAGCTAACTGTTGTCTGGCATAACTTTTTCTGCAAGGGGTCATTGCCAATGTGATTTGCTGTGGTTCCTGGAAGGGTGATAAAGGTGAGCGAAGGCTTTGGGCACCTTCTCCTAACACTGGTGAACTTGGCTGAAAGGGTGTGCTGTTTCCAAATGCTGTGACAGCAAGTGAAAAAAAAAGGGAAGAAAAGAGTGTACTGGGGGTAGAAAGGTGGGTGTGGTTCTGTAGGAAACATTTCCTTACATAAAACTCCATGTTTTTAGCTTCTTTTGATATAACAAATAAAGGATAAAGTAATTGCTCAGACTTAAAAAAAATTAATTATAAATACACAAGTAACACAGGAATCCATTTACCTTTGAAAAATTAGACTATCACCCAATCCCAGTCCCAGTCCCCTCTGCCTTTCTTCAGAGGTAACTTATGTTATTATTTCAATGCATTTCCTTTTAAAGTGTTCTTGTACTATTATATACATGTACTTGCACTTATCAAAATGGATAGCTGCAATTTGTCTATGTTATCTTTTTTACAGAAGTGATTTTATACTTTAGATATCATTTTGCTCATTTCTCTAAACATGTTTTTGATGTCTACCTTTATAGGAACTATAAGTCTATAGATACTTCTTTTAAATCCCCAAAGATCTGTTTCTTTTAACTACATATGGAGCTATCCATATAGATACATATGTTATGTGGATCACCAATTTTAATTGCTGTAAATATTCCACCCTGTAAATATATGACTTTTTATTTATCTATTTCCCTATTGAGAGACATTTGGTGGTTTCCAATTTTTCATAAAAACAAACAAAGTCCTTAGCTGTGTCTGTACATGTGTGTGACTGTTCTCCAGGGCATATGACTAGATCACACCCATGAGAAACTGCTGCCCCAGAGGGTGTGCTGTTTTCAGTTTTAATAGGCTCTCCAAAGGGGCTCTAACTGATTGGGACTTTATCTATTAAGTTTATATTCCCATTTTCCCCACATCCCTGTCTACACTGGTTTACTGAGCTTCTAAAATAATACTAAATCTTTATTTTAAACATAACTACACAGCGATTACATTATAACGACAGTGTTTTCTGAGATCAAAGTTGGGGTGACCTGCCTGACATTTACGTGGTGGGAATCAAGATGGCCGCTGATAATGTAGGCCTTGTCATTGGCTTGCTGCACTAACCATCCTGGGAATGGGCACTGCTTTTCAGCGATAAACTGATTAACTTTCACATTCTCTTTTCTTCCTGCCTACCAAGACCTTCAGGGATAAGGATGTGAGCTGGGGCATGTGGCTCACAACTACTTGAGGACTATAGGGGGCCCAGGTGACACTGATAGCTCTTCAGGGGTAGCTTATCTTATCTCATTAGTTTGTGCCTGTGTCAGGGGAGGGGTGAGTACAGCTAGGGAGTCAGCTGGATTCACAGTTAAAACACAACGATCCAGAAACACGGGAACTGCGAACACTGACTGATCTTGGGGCTCCATCAAGTTGCCACCTGGCCTTGTAAAGAACACCTCCATTTGGTGGCTCCCAGTCCCCAAAGCCAATCTAGGCAATCAGTTTCCCTTCCTCCCTCTCTCTTTCTTTCTTTCCTTCCTTCTCCCCACCCCATTTCCCGCCGCTTCTGTCTAAATTATAGGAGAATATCTTTTTTTTTTTTTTGAGGCAGGGTCTTGTTCCGTTGCCCAGGCTGGAGTGCAGTGGCATGATCATAGCTCATTGCAGCCTGGAACTCCTGGGCTCAAGCGATTCTCCTGCCTCAGCCTCCCAAACTGCTAGGAATAAAGTTTCTCTTTCAAGAATGTTTAGAGCTGAGTAGGCTTTCCTTTTGTTATAAAAGTTCTTATTTTAGAAAATTTAGAAAGAAAAATAAAGCTATCACACAAAGATAACCACTCTTAACATGCTGGGTATTTCCTTCCAGCTTGTTTTAAAACATAGGTTTCATTTGTAATACACAGTTGGGATCTTATTATGCAAGCTATTATGTTTTTCATTTAATAATTTAGAATATCTCCTGTGCTATTATATATTCTTCAGAGACATAGTATTTTTGTTTGTTTTTTTTGGGGGGAGGTTTTTTGAGACAGAGTCTCACTCTGTTGCCCGGGCTAGAGTGCCGTGGCGTCAGCCTAGCTCACAGCAACCTCTAACTCCTGGGCTCAAGCGATCCTCCTGCCTCAGCCTCCCGAGTAGCTGGGACTACAGGAATGTGCCACCATGCCCGGCTAATTTTTTCTATATATTTTTAGTTGGCCAATAATTTGTTTCTAATTTTAGTAGAGACGGGGTCTCGATCTTGCTCAGGCTGGTTTCGAACTCCTGAGCTTGCGCGATCCTCCCACCTCTGCCTCCCAGAGTGCTAGGATTACAGGCGTGAGTCACTGCACCCAGCCCAGAGACATAGTATTAAAAGGTTGCACATTCTTCTGTCACTTGCTGATGACTGGACATTTAGGTTGTTTCCATGTTTTTGTTGTTATAAATAATTTGTCATTCATTTGAAGTAATAAAAACAACCTCAGTGCATATTATAGATAAAATGCTCCATTACATGTTACATTAGGATAGTAATAAAGTAATACAAATTGGGATGTTTGGAGTAAATGATCTTTAAAATGATTGAAAAAAATCTAAAAGAGATGGTTTTTTCAAAATGCATTATCCAAACTTGTCGCTGCACAGATGAGAGGCTGTTATTTCTTTGGTTATACCTGAGACAGCCCAGCGAGGCATCAAAGGAAAGTCGTATCCACTTTAGGCTTCTGGTGAGGCTCAGCCCTAAAGATAAGAAGGAGGTAGGCCTGAGTTACCCACAAAAGTCACTTTATAAAGGTGGCAAGTTCTAATCAACGTTATTGCAAGACAGGCTTTCTGCCCTTCCCTTCCAATACAAACATGAGGAAATATCGTATTTTTAGTTGAGCACTGCATTAAACAAAAATTAATTCTTTAAACAATATATGTAATACATAGTATTCTAACTACTATCATATATATTCTAACATATACATTATATATTGTGACATATATAATATAAAGCATAGCAATAAATGAACACCAACTCAGCTAGAATATTCCAACATATTGTGTCTTCTTTACCTTTATCTATCCTGTCCCATACCAGCCCCAAAGGTAACTGTCTTAAGTTTTGTGTTGCATATTCTACTGCCTTTTAAATAATAATTTTACCACATAGTTATATATTTCTAAACGATGTATAAGTTAGTTTTTATGTTTTGTTTTTGATCTTTTAAACAAAGGTACAATATTATATATGGTTTTATGCCACTTGCATGTTTCACTCAATTGTTTTTTTTATTATTCACCCATATGGTTTTGTGAAAATATTAATAATATGAATAAACTGTGTGTGTTTGTATTAATTACAAACAATTAATTTTTCCATTCTCCTGTAAATGATTGCTATGCACATTTTTGTAGGTTCCCTATCTCCCTATCTTCAAGAGGAGATACATGAAGTGTGTATCCCGGGAGTGAAATTATTGGGTCATTAATATATGTGTATTCAACTTTAAAATATAATGCTGCACTATGAAATACTGATTTGCAAGTTTGAATTGTGTCTTTGCTAGAATAGGCCCCCAGCTTAGCATTAACAGAAACCAGGCCCTTAAATTACAGTCCTTAGTCTGGTTAGGATCTCTTTTTGTTTTTGCTCTTTGGAAAAGCAGGTGGCCTGCTTAAATGTAAGAGAGCAAGAATAAAGCTGGGAAAATTCTTTCAGGCTTAGCAAATACTCATGACTAATCAACCAAGCACACCTTGCTCCAGAACTCCAACTGGCCTCAGAATCCTTTCCAGCAGGGCACTCCAAGGGGCTACTACTGATCATTGGGAACTGACATTTGAAACGAAGTCTATTTGCCACCCCTCTTGGTTGTTTTGATTGGGTACTGGAAAGGAGTGAAGGTGCAGTAGTAGGCTGAGGTCTGCTTACAAAGGAGTTGCTTTTCTTGGATACAGTATTTTACAGTAGATGAGACACCAGGATGGTGCATGGGCTGGTAAATGTGGCTCCCTGCCCCTTTAGCTCTCTTCTCTGAGGGTTCCTTGTTCTTGGGAGGACAGCGAGTGGGAGTTCCGCCATACCTTAGCCCACATGATCCTGCTTGCCTCTATGTAAAATGGAGGTAATGTGGGTATTCATGCTGTTTTTTTGGAGGGGGCGTTGGGAATTTTTGATGCTGTTTTGTTGTTGGCATTGTTCAGATTTTCTCATTTTAGAAAATGTATAAATTATAGAAAAACCAAAGGAAGAAAATAATAATTCTTTGCAATCTTACCATTTGGAAAAAAACTATTAACATTCTTGTGTACATCCTCTGTTGTCTCATGCAAATATATTGCATATTAAATATTTTCTTGATCGTGATGAGTCATAGGTGGGGTGGGGGTCCTGGGAGAAACACTACATTAAATGAATACCTTGATTACAAGACCTATTTCTAAATTCCAGCTATTAAAATATGGGGGAAGAAGTTTATTTTAGAATGGAAGGAAAATGGCACACATAGAGTGGGCCACATTTATCAACTCCAGGACACATATTTTGTCAATTTCAGAATATACATTATTTCATTTTAACATTTAAATCATGATGTATCCTAAAATTTATGGCTCATTATGGTTTAATTGAAAGAATGATTTTTGCTTTCTTAGTAGTGAATAAAAATGATGCATTTAATAATCATTTAATTATTTTAATAATTTAAGATTATTAAGTGATACATTAAATAATATTTCATTCAATGTAATTAAGTTGTATATATTTTTTGTTTGGTTTTAAAATTATTGTTTTAAGAAGTAAAAAT